CTGACACGCTAAATCTCCGAACCATCCAGAAGAAATGATTGACTTGAAATTGGTGTTGGAAATCTGCATTTTGATCTTAATCCCGAGTGTAACCGAATTTTACACCAATTTCAGATAAACAAATGCTTGCCTTGCTTTTCTGCCCCTGGCTGTGACGTCGTTATCCATGATGCCTGTAGCTGAAATGATGCTGCCCAAGTGAGTGAAATTAACTTTGTTGTTATTAGCTGGTTGGTTGCTTTTATCGCCTCTGCCATTTCTGTTTTCACTTAAAGTGCTGCCTTCGTTGCATTTGTCTTTTCTAAGAACCCATTGATTTTCGCCTATAGATCTACGACTTTATACGACATAAGACTTAGCCGTCCGCGAAATCCAGTTCTTCTACAGTCTTCTTATTGATGCATTGTCTTGCTGTAATCCTGCTCCCCACAGTCTTCCATATGATCCAGTCCACCGCAACCAGGAATATCATTGGTGATAATAAGAAATCCTGTCTAGTCTTCTTGTTTTCACTGCCTTGGCCTAGGATTTTTATACAGGCTTGACCTATACAGATATTTCGATACAATAAAGAATAAAGCTATGGAATTTTCTATTGCAATTATTTCTGAGCCTTAAAATTAAACCTAACAGAAGTAGTCTGGAACTTTTCTTGTCTTAGATATTAGACTGACACGGTTTTTTAAAGAGTATGTAGCTATAAGCCACCTGAAATAATTAACTGGGATGATCAGCGAAATGCACAGAGAAGCCTTTTCAGTAGTGGTACAGTGACTGACATGAGCAAAATCTAGGTCTAAGGTAGTTTTGATAAAAGAAACAAATAGCCTTATCCTGAAGATATTTCACAGCGTGCATTAAACAAATGGAACTTGTATACCTAGCATTAATGTCAGCAACTTGACGTTTTTATTTCTTCCTACGATATACTTCGTCTTACTTTGGAACACCCACCGAGCTTCAAACCCCGGTACTTCTGCTTACAAAGTAAACGTCGTAAACCATTCAACCACTTGCACTACTGTCAATTCGCGATATACGTATATAGCACAAAGTCCAGCAAATCTCACAAGTGAGTAACTGTTCTCCTGCCCGACTCAGTGAACTATGCTGCTTACTACTTCTCACTAGAACGTAGGGAAATTTCTTCTATACAGTCGATCGCTACTGAGCATCAGATTAATTATCAGATGTGTGTGTGTCAGTTTGCAGTGATTTCAGTGGTTATAAGTTTGATCAAGAGGTAGCATGAGTTAGAAAATCCTGTCCCGGTGGGTGGATAGTCTACGTGATCGATCGAATACAGACGAAGAGTCCAAAACCAGGACGAAACAACTATCCGATACTCCCTGAATTCCCCATAGTGCTAGTAACTTGAAATTCTCAGATGACTAATGCTACTGAGTCATGTCTAACTTTTATGTCTACTTGGTGTTTAAATCTACACTCAGACTAGTTACAAGTTCCTGCATAACTGCAAATATGAATAAAATATTCATCCTTTGTATCATACTACTAAATTAGCTGTTCGAATTATGAATGAAGTCATAAATAAAACTGTCAATAATCCTAAAAATATTTTTGTTTTTGTAATAGTTTACTTACTTAAATACTTCTGTTATGCATAACCTCTAAATATTTGTAACGATAGTGACAATAACAAGTTATGTATGTAGAGTAGTTTCACGTGTGAAAAATTTACTGTCGCTTTGTTAAGGTCAAATTGTCTCCAGACAGAAAAATGTATAAATAAAATGAGACATGGAAACAAGCAGGTCCTCACTGGGCCTATATGTATGTTTGTATATATGGTACGTTTGTGTTAATTGGGTCACTGGACAGTGATCCTCGTGTTTAGACGATATTAGTCAGTTTTCACATTATTGACAGGAATATTACCAAAGAATAACATCCGTTATAAGCAAGTTCATGGACTAGTGAATACTAGACAACTGTCGATAAATATACCATGCTAGTCTTGGAACCATCAATAGAGCTAACACATCGTCTCACCAGGAGTCATTTTCTAGGCCTTCGGGTTACTGTCTAGCCGCTTGGCTAGCTGAAATCCAATGACATCTTGTTTCTAACTTCTATCAGTGTGTAACATGGCTCAGCAGTCAGTGAATTTCACCAGTGAGAATCAACTGTCACATCATACTTAGCAGAATGCATCGTATACGACATTTCATTGAAACTACAGGGTATCCATAGCGCAGTCCATCACTAGTGCACAGTAGATTCGAGTTTATGGAATTCATGACGAGCCCTTAATAGCTAAACAGCTATCTCGTATTTCAAGCTTTTCAACAGTTCACTAACTACTGTCGCACCTTCGTGAAAAATAACGTGACTGGTAGATTTCAGTCTGCACCAAAGAAAGGAGTAGACACATCAGACCAGCTACTAGTGTGCACATGGTCCGAGGTTCGATCACAGGCCGACGCACACCCTTACCTCGTTGAGCCAGAAATAATGCTGGTAAAGAGGAAAGGTTGAGCATGAGGCTAGCAACCCTATCCTGTAAAATAATCACTGCTACGGAAACTTCAAGCCACTAGCTTGAAGCCCTATGTTTTACTGGGGAACATGAAGGGAAAAAATCAAAATTACTTGAAATCAATGAATTCCACAGAAATTAGCATTTGGAAAAATGAGAATATTTACTCACACATATTCTGGTGATGATAAGTAAAATTAGTGAACTACTGAGTTGATCATTACGCAACACACATACTATCAGCTGACTTTCAATGCAATAAAAAACTGAAATCTGTCATTCATTAATCATCTGAGAACAACAACCTTGGACTTAAATTTGATATTGTGATTTATCAGAACTGAAAAGCTCCCTTCCCCTACAAACGTTGACTAGATCACAGAATAACGTTTGACGGCGATGTATGGAAGTCTTACGGATTTGTCATTTGTAAGCACATCAGTAATTAGTGAATCCCTTTTATGTTTCATTGTGCAGGTGACAAACTTCGTTTGAATTTCAAATCCTTAAATTCTGATTACAATGAATATCTAGTCATGTGAGGAGTTTAGGTATTATTGGAAAGATAGATCACACTGTCCTTTCCAAAACAGTAGCAATATTAATACTGAGTGAGAGAGATCAGTCACCGTGTGAAATTTCAATAAAGTAGAAATAGTTTGAGAGATAACCTCTAACATGATTTTCAGATACTTAGTTGCCTTCATAAATTTCGAAAAAGAAAGAAAGATCAAATTTGAAGTATAAAATCATATCAGCATTCTATTTCCCAGGTTCTCATCATCTGCAAACTGTCTAGAATTACAATGCTTATAAAAAATGACAGCAGCATACTTCAATATTTGAATGGTAGACAGAGAAAATGTTGCAAAGTTAACGCATCAGTTAAGCTACCACCAGTTAAACGTATATAAATTGATGGTAACTTGTACTAAAACGTGTAATGCTTGTCTATTTCGAATGCGTTGACTTTATAATATTTTCTGTACTACTATTCAAAAATAGAAGTATGTTATTGTCATTTTTATAAGCACTGTAATTCCAGGTAGTTTGCAGCTGATAAGAACCTGTGTAATAGAATGATATCGTTTTAAACGTCATATTTGATCTTTCTTTCTCCAACGTAAGTTTTATAACAATACATAAAGTGTGATTCCTTAATCTCTTACAATAAAAAGTATTCTGCAGTGACAGTGCGAATAGCTTAGAACAGTATAAACGAAATGTCACTTAGGAGATTTATTATTCGCCATGTTCTCAAAAACGAGGTTAAGAAGTGCATACTGCCTAGCCAGAGTGGAGGGCATCTCCGAAATCAGTGGGTGTCAAAGGCCTCAGATAAAATCATTCACTATCCATTGACTTTGGAATTCTGAACAACTTGAATAAAAGTTATTTGCATTTTCACTCATATTTCTCTAATAGACTGCTACACTTTCAATGTTTTAATCTTTGTTTATACGATACGCTGTAGTACATCAGGCCGATACAGCTTACGCCTCTGCTTAGTTAAGCGTTAACTTATCAATCAGTCATATATACCCTGTAGAGAATCATTGGTAGCTCCCACAGTTTAGTATTAATGCTTGAAACTTAGACACTAAATAACACACAAGTCACTTCCTACAATACCAATAATGAAGACACTTTTCTCAAAGATACTTTTCATTAATAAACAACTTCTACTGGGTAGCTGGAAAATTCAACTACCCCTACGACAAATAAGAGAGAACAAAGAAAGCAAAACCTAAATTTAGAAGTCGTGTGGTTATAACTGAAATCATTATGAACAATAAATTTTGTTCGAAAAGTCATCCAGTAAAAGGTACTGTTTCACTGTGTGATACTAATACGGGATGAAGCTAAAATGATGGCAAATTTACAGGTAAGACCAAGAATTGAAACAATTCAGAGAACCAATGAACACTGAATAGCCGTTTCCTCGCAGTTTGTGACCACTTTAGAGAACGTGCATATAATCCCACTGTGATTAGACTGAGAAACTTCAGGCTGCCAAGCAAGTACATTGATGTAACAACAACTAGGATGGAATCAAATGGACTATCAATCCTAACTTGTGCCAGTTCGCAATATACATCACCACCTACAATCGACATCACCAGCTGATAGTTACCGATACAGCCAACGTTTTGGATTCCAATAGTCATGTCTTTCTATTTTAAATCCAGGAATTCCATTCCATAGTGAGACATCCATGTGTATGACACTGATTTCAGAGATTTGGTTTGTATTCCGGTGGTCAATAGGCTGAATTCATAACCTGGGGATACTTAGTTCGAACGTTGGTGGGGATGTCAGACCGACACTGAGATAAAGCAGTTGTTGATTACTTCGTGGTTTGAAATAGCCTCCTAAATGAAGTCAGTTTGAGAGCTAATTGGAAATCAATTAAATTCTTGAAAACAAACCCATAAAATAAATCTATATAAAACAAGACTATTTAAATTAACGGATCATATTCATTAAAAGGTAAACTTACTCAGTTGTTACAGAGGCTGCATTTCTCAGACACAGAGTGAAGTAAACATCACACTCTGGGGATCCAACACGATCACATGTTTGTCCATTCTCCAGCAGAGAACCAGGATTATTATAATCCCATTCAATTTTCAACAGAGCACCACCGTAAGGCTGATTATTGAGATAGAAAAAAAATACGAGGAAATTATTAGAATATTTATCCAGTGTTCACAATATAAAAAAGCTTTTCAAGGGTTAGTTGTATGGATATGATCTGTTTCAAGCCCGATCATGGATCTGTGTCATTTAGAGAAACATTTATAACCAGGGAGTTTTCTAACTGACATCTGTTCCTGATCAAACTTGAAATAAACTAACAATTAAAAATTATCAAATATTGGTTTTGTAGGGATTTTGTTTCATTGCATGGAGGATTTAATCATGAGCTGACATCAGTTAGAGAACAACTGGAAAACCTGGGAGTACTGGACAGTTGCTTCGTCCTAGTTTGAGACTCTTCAGCAGTATGTACCCACCGGGATTCGAACCCGGGACCTTCTGGTTACAAGGCGAGCTCGTAGACCATTGAGCCACTGGGGCCCGATCCAATGGTCCTTGAATTTTAACTCCCAGTGGCTCAATGGTCTACGAGCTCGCCTTGTAACCAGAAGGTCCTGGGTTCGAATCCCGGTGGGTACGTACTGCTGAAGAGTTCCAAACTAGGACGAAACAGCTGTCCAGTACTCCCAGGTTTTCCAGTTGTTCTCTAACTGATGTCAGCTCATGATTAAATCCTCCATGCAATTAAAAATTAGTTTGAACAAAGCAAGAACTACAGTTTTAGCAGAATAAAATGGTACCATCTTTTATTTCGTTGCCTTCTCGTCAGCTGCTTACATGGCAAAGACATTATTAAATATATCTACAACTACAATTTTAACATACTTGCACAGAGTTAAGTTTAAACAAAAATCAATCGATCAATATACGCATACACTAAAAATATATACATATATAAATATGCAATATTAACCACTATTCCGAACAATAATAATACCGGACTAAAGTTGTCCGGGAAGACGGGACCATTGGGGTTAACTAGGTCGGGAATGAGGACAAATACTCACCGATAACGCTGCCAAGGGGTCGCACTGAAACCTCGAATTGGTAGAAGTTGGAATACATGGACCACTGGATTGAGTCACAGTGGCTGAATTATCCATGAGTTCAGCTTGTAATAGGAAGGCGTAGGTTTTGAACCCCAGTGGCGACACACTCACTACTGAAGATGCATAAATGAGGACGAGACAGATGTTCAGTACACCCTGGTTTCCAATGTTTCTCTAACTGACATCAATCTGTTATTGAACTTGAGAATGAATTTTATTGAACTGTAAATAATTAGCTTTTATAACTCAACAATCACGTACATTTCCGTCTAGTTGGTTATGGGTCACGCCCTCTATGCAAGTGCTATTGACGGTACTACCCTAGTAGATGGAGATGAGAGTCATGTGCCTTGACCTGTGACTCACATTTCCACTTACAACCCTAAACATATAAGCTGAAATTATGATTTATTTATCATTCTCTTTTACTACATACTATTAGTAGTCTTTGAAATAACAAATAAGAATATAAAAGGAAAAATCAATGATCAGTGGAAGGTCGTCCCAGTTATCTGTAAGTTTGTATAGTTAATCATCTGTAAATATTTAACTTGAAAGGAGTTCTTCAGACAGTTGGAAAATAAGTTGCCAGTCTTCATCTACGAGGAAAATATAGTGAATTCCTTTAAAATAAAAGCTAAATTAAAGAATTACCGAAAACAGATTTGTTGTCCTTCGTACCAGACATATGCAGCGTAAGACAATACATCTTACTACATACTCTTCCCTGTTTACTTACATTTCCACGGAAGAAGCAAGAGTGTCAGATTCTCTTTAACCAATTATGTAAGCTACCAAGTTTATTTGTGCAGAAATAAATTCCTCTGTCAGAGAAGAAAGATATAACTCCGCAAATGTTGATGTGTAATCAAAAGAATTTAAATAATTTGAGCTTTTCTTGATGTTACTTTATTAGGAATCTAATTGATCTTGTCACAACGTCATTTGAGATAGACTGCATCAGTTTTAACTGATGATGATATAATTGACATAAAACGTAAGCGTGTTAATAACCTTTCCTGTAAGACTGATGGTTTCGCATTAATAAAAGTGCTTAACTATGACAAGAATGTTTGTTTAGTACTCCCTGGTTGTCAATACTTTCCTGAGAGATTGTTTCGTGAGGAAATCTACCTTGGAGTTCAAGATTTCTTGAGCCTAGAAAAGTCTTTCATCATTAAGGATTACACTGGAGATAACTTTTACACTCAAGAAAGTCAGTTGGAAGCTAATAGTCAACTGAGCAGATGTCTTCACTGGTGATTGTACAAGACTCAGGTTTAGTAGAGTTTATCTCAGAATATATCAAAGCGATTAGTAGTCTGGTTAATTAGATTTATCCCTGTCTTCCAAGGGCTTATAACATCAATAGTGTCACAATTAATATATATATGTTTATTCACAAGCATCAAGTGCCTTCGTTCTTCTCCGTACTGCTTAGTATATTAACGGAATATTGTGAAGTCTAACTGTGTTTTTGTCATAAAATACCTGATTTCTAAATGTCTAAGCGCCAACTTTGTCGTAATCGAAAGCTTCTATAAATTACACTTTCAGAATAGCGTTGGTTAATAACACTAATAATCCTACAGTTGCTGATGTCGTTGAACATCTTTCAGTGATTTATTACTGATATTTCTACACGGTCACATTGCTTTTAGGTCCTCTTTGCTTGTTATTAGCTGAAAAAGTTTGAAAGGCTTCATCAATAGATTTTATCCCCATGATTTATGTAAAGCTAACTGAGATCGAAAGTCTTTTATCGTTCACGGATATGCGTTTGCATCCAGTAGCTGAAATAACTGAAATAGGGTGAAATTCCCGACCAGTGCGATTCGTCATCTATAATCCAGATGTCGTTTACAAGATATCTGAACAATACATATTTTAAAATGTTTTTGATTATAGCTTCATTCCACACAGTATTTTTCGTACAAGTATACAATTTTCAGCATGAGATATCGGCAGTCCAAATTTCGCAGGCCGACCATAGATATCAGGTGTCGTCGGCACAGGATCGAACTCCAGACCATGTTCATGGTCGGCGAGAGTCCTAACTATTGTGCTCCCAACGCACATAGTATGGACGTCGTAGGACTGTCACTTGGGTGTCACTGAACATAATTTCGTGTGATTACTACTGATCACCTTCAGATGTGTGAAAGTGGTGGCTGTGAAATGCCTCACACTACTCAACACTAGACCTATCTACTCGTTGGGCTCAGAAAGCATCTCGTCAATTCATCTCATAAGGGGGGTGTGGATGAGTGTACACCAAGGGAACCGACTCACAGATAATTTATACATCCTGAAAATTTAATTTTCTCAACCAGTAATGTTAGATGAAGTTCCATTAGAAATCAAGAGTGGTTAGACCGAGCAAGCCATCAAATCAATAAGTTTGAGTTTATGTTGTGTAATAAAGTAAACATTAGCAGTTTTGCGTCTGTGAGATGCTGGAAGATATTGACTCGATGCTGTAGTCTATAATAGTAGCAATACTTCGAATACAGTCACTACATTTTACTTGATTGTCACCATTGAAGATCGAGTAGTAAATTGGTCCGAGATTCCAGTTGCTCAACAGTAACATCTTAATATTTAAATCTAAGATTTCAGAGCTTCACGAGGTATACCTTCGTGAATACCAACTATCGGACTATTAGGTAAACTTTAGTTTCCAGTGGATGTTTGTATCTGACTTCTACCTATGAATGAATTTCATTCATTTCTTTTGAAATTGTAGAATAAAACTGTCCTGAAATATTTTAGAACATGAATGGTTTATTTCATTGGCTGGGATGAAATTTATTCATTGCTTCCTGTTTGGTATCACACAAGCTAATAACACACACTTCACATTAAACAAGCTAATACGCTATTAGTCTAACTATGAAGTGACATAATTTGAAGAACTACTGGAAATCAGGGAGTAGTGGATAATTGTTTCTTTCTATCTTCGTATTCTACAGTAATATGCAACCACAACCCAGCAGGAATCAAATCTACAACCTTCAGTTTACGAGGTGAGCTCATTGTTCATTCATCCAATAGGACGATGTGAGCTGATGAAGGTTTATAAACTAAAAGGAAACAAATATCCAGTACTCCAAGGTTTGATTGCTTCCGTCACTGAATTCAGTTTGTGGTCTCATTGGAAATCAATCAAATATCTGCAGACCAACACTTGTACAAACAACGCACTAATGAAAAGAGCGGTAACAACACTTCGTGGTGTGATATATAGTAAGAAACATTTTTATTCTAAATTAATCAAACAACTGAATCAGTTGGTGACGACAATTTGAAGTATACAGATAATACCACTCGATTAATGCTTCAAGACGGATGTTCAAAAACATATTACCTTCCTAGTGAATTCCCCAAGTCACTTTGAATATATCTGTATGTGTTCTCAAGTATTTATTCCAGAGTTATTTTGTTCAGCTTCATTATTCGCAAATACATCTCTTGAAAAGATCAGCCAAAACTCGTGGCTTCTATCTTCCCCAATTCCTAAAACGGCTTCGCCTCCCTAAGCCAGGACAACCAGATAGTATCATCGAATTTCAGACAACATGCAGGGCTAATATTCTGGTGCATAAACACTCTTTTTCAATTAAGTGGTGTCAAAATGACTCTGACGTCTCAAAGCTCGAATAAACCTCACTTTATATTCAAAACAAACCCCTATATCACAGTGATGGACTGAGGATGGAGGGGTCCAGTAATCCGCTCACCAGGGTACATTGACATTGAATGTATGCACAACACGAAACTTGGAGGACAGTCAAATTGTCGACATCGTTGTTTGGAAGTTTATAAAAGTCGGTTTGTACTTAAAGTTTTTCATTCTCTCTGATAAACAAACCTACTTACATAACACTTAGAATAAATATAGGTCACTTAAATTAGGCCATTCATTCGAAAAAAATGAAACAATAATAACAATCACGAAGTCAGGTTAACTTGAAACGAAAACAAAAGTTTCAGTCACCGCAG